TATGGTTTGTTCTAAAAACTAATTAATAAAAATATCACTATTGTGTGTACGTAGTAACATTAAAAATATTTTAATAATGTTTACAAAAATAAGAAATTTCGTATTTTCATATATTCAGCAAATCATATTTGTAGACTCTCCAACAATTTTCTTTAAATAACAGAGGTTATGAGAAAACAGTAATATTATTTTTAAATATTCACCAATAACAATATAATAAATACTCTTATCCAGGACAAAGAAAGTTTCTTGGATTTACAGTCTTTTATGGACTGCCAGCAAGTTTAGTACTATATCGAACGAATTTAAAAATCATTTTCAATTAATATTTGATCAAAAAATTCATTAAGCTACATAGCAAAGCCGCCATATTGGATCCACTATTTTGAATTTGGTAGTTAATAAGTTACTTACACAGTGACGAAAAGTTCGGTAACTATAATAAGCGAGTTGAATCACGATTTGAAAATAGTTTTTGCACCACTGATTATAGTTAAACCATTCGGTTGACTGCCATATTTGATCTACTTTTTTAAATTATTTCATGTACTATTAATGCCTAGGCTTATAGAAACGTGAGTCACTAAAAAAAGTTGGTTTAAGAAAAATCTCAAAATAATATTGGCTCTGTGAATAAACTAAGCCACATTGCAAAGCCACCATATTGGATCCGGCATTTTTAAATAAAAAGTTTCGTCACCACTAACATTTTTTAACACCTGAGGCACTGTCGCCTAAAAATGTAGCTACTTTTAAGGCATGAAATTAACTGTAAAGCACATTAGATGGTTGAAATGAAAAAAAATTGATATTTTTTGGATCCTTTGTCATTTAAAGCCGCCAAATTGTGTTTAAAAACGAGTTGTACGAATTTGGCCAGACAGCATTCGAAAGTAGAGATTCCAGGCTTCCATTTGCACTACTGGACACTATTTTTGAGACTAACAAATTCTGGAGAGGATGGGGTGTCTGGTTAAGAAAGAATGCCCCATATTTATTTAAGAACAGCTGTATCACTGTGTACATTGCAGATTGTATGTGTATGTTAAGAAGCAAAGCAGTAATTACTCACATTAAGTATTAAATACGAAGATTTACTCAAGTTTCATTATTTAATAAATTACTACGGGTGACAAAGAATAGCGTTTATTGTTGTAAATTTAAAAAGAGTTCGTGAGTACATAAAATTTTAAAGCGTGGAATAATCAATGACATGGAAGTATACAATAATGAAAGTAATTTCCAAATAAATTATGCCAATAAACGTCATTACGAATTGGACTTATATGCGTCGCCTACATTAATTATTAAATTTTATTTTCAAATCTCTTTTCATTTTTCTAACCCTGTCCTCTGTAGGTTTATTTGGATGCCAATATTGGCCCTAAATAATCCCTCATTACACTATGCCATCTACCTCTATGCATTTGCCCTGGTTGGACCTACATAGGTAACTGGGTAACCAATGTAGGCCCAACATAAAGCCCTCTTAAGATTTTTGATCGAGTGTTAGTTCAACAAGGACTTTAAAATTAGAAAATTTTAATAGAATATCATGCAGTTCATAAGAGAAAAATAAATTATTACCCAAAATAATATGTGATGAGCATCTCAGAAATAGGCAAAAACTAGTGTTCGAAAAAAGTCAAATATCCAGTGGAAAATGGCAGACACCCCTGACGAATTGTTTTAGTTTAAATGGAAGTATAGTCTTGTATAATCATTAATTTGTAAATTTTCTGGAAAACTTTATTTTTAGTGTTGAACTCTAGACTTACGAAAGTGTAAAAGAAAGTGAAAAAAAATAGTAGAAGGCATGTTATTACAGTATAAGGTATTTTTTGGTATTAAGTATTCTTTTAGTACTGTAGCTGACTCTTTTTAAAACATATGTAAAGTATATAGTGAGAAACATGCAGCAAGGATATTGAAAAATCAAGAAACTACTAACAGAAATAATTTTCAAATATTTACACACGCAAGCAACTGTATTATATTTCTAAGCAAGTGTAAGTATCATACGGTTCTTTTGAAACGTCAGATTACATCCCCCTCAATACAATTTTTAGAGGCATCTTATAAGCCTCTACCACTTAAAATCTTGACGCACTTTTGCTTAGATAGGCACACATACTATGATTTACTGAAAGCTCTCACTCTTCTTATAACATATCTCTTAAGGACGTTCATCGCACATAGGGTTTTCTGAAGAATCTTCCAAAAATTTTTATAGGATGCTCATGATGATATTAGAAAGTCAGATGTAGAATTTGTGACCATTTCACAACACTGTTCTTTAGATAATAAATGTTAATAATACTTTAATTTAACACATAACTTTATGAAGGAGTCACAAAAATGGAATTTATAAGAAAATGGTCTGAAGAATTTGTCCAATTTTTTTTTTTGCATGACACAATACGATAAAACTGATGGTATAATAAATTTTCAGTGAGATCTACAAGTTATTTTTGCAATAAAATTAAAAAAAAAACAGTATCACACGCCTATGTATAGGTATACGAATGCATGCAAAACAATTGCTGGCGCTGCCACATGCTCGCTCCTTCTCAGTGCTGTCAAGTTTTGCCCCACTAACTGTGATAAATGTCCTTGATATTTCTCTACAATAATAAGATCCAATACGTTTTTCGTAAGAATACACTACCCCACACACTGATGACAAGCATTTGAATCTCCATGCCCCACGCGAAAGCCTACCTTACATCCGGTAAGCTAAACACGCACATTATATCTTAACGAAAACAATCATTGCTTTCATTACAAATAAACATATATTGTTCCCTTATAAGTCAACCCAATACATTTTTGGTGAAATTTACTTTGCTTTATACCGACTTAGCTAATACAATCCACACATTATAATTTATGAAATATCTAATATCAGCAATAAATAAAACCAAAGTTTTGCAAAATTCGCTAGATTTGTGCTATGGTTCAGGAGGATCTGCTAGGTGGTATTAAAGTAAAATCAAAGCCATCTGCAATCAAAGTCACTAAGTCTAGTGATAATATTCTTGAGCAAAATATCAATAACCATATTCGCATACTGTCAGTAAACTTTAATAGAGCTGTTTGTCGTCCAGTTGGGTATTTTGGTTATTGACGACACCTTGACATCTTGAAAGTCTGTAAGGGGCAAGCAATTAATGCTAATTTTCATCCTAGACCAATTACATGATCGAGTACAAAAAAAAAGAAATTTTAGGTACTAAAAACTTTATCTGAATACCAGAAGACGTAAAAAAACTAGTCAACAGCCCTTTTTGAGGATCACAAAAGTTTTTAGAAATGCCTTGAGTTGCAAAAGGATAATTTACAAGAAAAAATTTTTACTTCCTACTATCTATTCGGCATTAAAAAACTGACACAAAACATTAATCAGGATTGAAACAGTAGCTTCAAAATTAACAAATAAGTAAGCCAGTAAGTGACAGATCCACTTTATTATTCTTACATTTATTACTAAACTGTTCCAGATGTTCCACTGGGTACAATAGTATGCACGTATTTATTGTGGTACTAAAAAGTTAGTAGATAAGGCTTAATGACTTTGATGATTTGGTATTTGAAAAAAAAATTAGAGTATTTTGTCATGGACGTCATATAAGGTCCAAGCACCCGGGTTGGAGGTTCACGAGTGCGGCGATGCACAGTGGTCCAGAAAGCCTGAAAAATTCTCAAAATTCGTGCTTCCAATGAACTTTTACTTAAATTGAACGTCTTTACACGTATTTTATTCCTCAAAACTTAAGCTACAATGATCCAAGTCCCTCGGACGTTTCACTATTTATTATGTATAAGTATTTCAGGTATATATGTGGCGGCTCAGCAACAGCGACCAGCTTCGTGCTCAAGACGAAAGCAGACCATCGTCCCAAGGAACATCTTTTCCTGCGCACGTGCGAGCCAACTCACGCACACACTGCCGGTGCGCTACAGCTGAGGGAGAAGAGTCGCGCGGCGCTATACACTTATTCTTCTACTTATAGCTCTCGACTTGAGCAGAGCAAAAGTCCTACTGTACATAACGAATAAAAGCCATTTTGTATTTTTATAATAGAATCTGTCGCGTGTGCTTATTTTCCCTCGTGCTCCTTTTCTTGTGGAAGCACAGCTTTGGCTGTGCAAAACAATACTTCCCACAAATGGTGACCCCTCGAACTGTTTTATTTATCGTGAGTGCAAGTTTGCGATGAAAAATTGAGCCAAGGCGAGGATAAACTCTTCGCGCACCGACATCTTTTAACGCTCTCCTGCTCGCCACGTGGGCAAGACGTCGTCGCCAAAAGGCTACGTCCCGCCGTCGAGAGGCCGGCGCTCGCCAGTGCCAACGTCTTGGGTAGCAGGGCCAATGCAAAGGGGACGGCCCCGCCCTGAAGCCAAGTTACGACCACGCGCAGAGCCCAACGTCATTTCACGGGCTGCAACGTTACGTGCCTGCGTGTGTCCTCCTGTGCTCGCCTTGCCACCATTACAAGAGTTGGGTGGCATTCAACCTCGCACTCCATTAACAACAGAATATACGTGGCAGGACACGGAAGTGACAGTCGAACAGACGTCTCCTGTCGATCCACTGCTGCTGGGGTTTCACCTGCAGCCCGTTCCTGTCAACGAGAGCACCGCCTTACAAGGTTATAACCTGCTGCCAGTCCCCCGCTCCAGGCAAGCGCTAGCAGTCAACACTCCAACGCGCCCAGCTGACGCGCGTGAGCCACGAGACGTGCTGCGAAGCAGGCTTTTCGCCGACCTCTACCCGGACGCGTACGCTGCCGTTGCCCTCGTTGCCGCAGCGGCCGACAGGTCAAGCGACTCTCCCGAGTCATCCCCGGACGTACACAGTGACGAAAAGTGCCACGCAGCAGCCGTTGCCGTTGACCACGTTCCGGCTAACGACAACATTACACACAGCGACTCATCCACGCCCAGCCCGGTCCTTTGAGACTCCCGCCAACTCTAGCGCTGGACTCATGAACACCATGGAACTACTTCCGTTTTGGTCTCAACACCCTGCCACATGGTTCACGCAGGCCGAGCTCATCTTCGCGAGCAACAACACCACCTCGGAAGGTGTGAAGTACGCTTAGGTCGTCAAAGCGTTTGGGCCAATCATCGACGACGGGCTGTTGGACATCCTCGCAGCACCACCAGCAGAAAACAGGTACGAAGGCCTTAAGAAACACGTCCTTGCGAGGTTCTCTGACTCCAAGGACCAACAGCTGCACAAGCTGTTCTTCGGAGTATCACTAGGCAACAAGAAGCCCTCACAGCTGTACCGTGAGATGAAAAGCCTCGCTGGCAACAGCCTCACAGATGACAGCTTGAGGGTCAAGTGGCTGGACCTGCTACCTGCAGAGGTGCAACCTTTCTTGCGCATCTTAAAATCCACGTCACTTGACGAGCTACTACAGGCCGCAGATAAACTTGTCTGCAACTCTTCGTTTTTGCAAACAAATCACACCTTCGTAGGTGTCTCGCCTGTCTCCTCAGGATACGCCTCGCCTGTCTCTCCACATCAACTGCACAATGAGATACTGCTCCAGGAAATCGCCGTGCTCAAGGTGATGATTACGCTGCTCTCTACAACTAACAAACAACTGCTCGAACTGCTCAAAAACAACAAGGGCAACGGAGGTGCCAGAGGCTGGGACAGATCGCGCAGTGGAGAACGGAACCAGTGCCCAGGTGCTCACGCCTGGTGCTACTTCCACAGAAAGTTCGGCGTCAACGCCTACTCCTGCAAGAAGCCCTGCACCTTCGTGGTACAAACCACCCAACCAACGAGAAACGCCTAGGGCTGCCTCCGACGCAGACGGCGGAGGTCACCCTTCCAACAGGGGAAACCCGTCTGCTCATCAGGGACCACAATCTCAAGGTCAACTTCCTACTCGACTCCGGATCCATAGTGTCAATCCTTCCCGGCCGCCAAATTTCAGCCAGGCCCAACGGGAGGCATTGACCCTGTATCCGGCCAACCACTCGCCCATACACACCTACGGCAGCTGGAAGATCAACCTCAACCTGGGCCTACGTCGAGACTTCCAATGGAAGTTTATCATCACCGACGTCGCCCCGGCTATCATCGGAGCCAACTTCCTGGCAGAACACGGTCTGCTGCCAGACCTCAAACACAAGCGGCTCATCGACCCGCTTACAGGTTTGGCTGTCAAGGGCACCCTGTGCGACAACAACCTGCACTCGATTGCGACAATCGAGCAACTGGGACCAGACGACCCTGACGTTGCCAGCCTCTACTAATCTTTGCTGCACAAATTTTCTGACGTCTTCGCGTGCAACAGCGCACCAGCGGTTATAAACTGCCTCCCAGTCCAACATCGGATCATCACCTGCGGCCAACCAGTCTTCGAGCGCCCCCGACGCCTCATCGGTGAGCGACTAGCAGCGGCCAAAGCTGCTATCACCGAGCTCCAAAACCAAGGGGTCGTCAGGCCATCCAGCAGCCAGTGGGCTAGTCCACTGCACCTCGTGCCCAAGGCCAACAACTCCTGGCGCGTCACCAGCGACTATCACCGCCTCAACAGCATAACAGTACCATACGGGTACCCCCTCCCGATCGTCGAGAACAATCTACAAGAGAGCCAAGGTCAGGTTTTTACGGTCATCGACCTATACAAAGCTTTTTACCAGGTGCCCATCGCCAGCGGAGACGTAAAGAAGACGGCCGTCACGATACCCTTCGGCCTCTTCGAGTTCCTCGGCACATCACTCGGCCTCAGAAACGCCACGCAAACCATGCAGCGCACGATGGACCAGCTGCTGCGCAAGCTTTCCTTCGTTAAGACCTACATCGACGACATCCTCGTCGCGTCACAGACGCACGAAGAGCACCTTCAGCACCTCCGCCAGCTATTCACCGTCTTGAAGCAGGCAGGCTTCAAGGTAAACCTGGCGAAATGCACATTCAGCAAGCCTCAGGTCATCTTCTGGGGCTTCCAGGTTTCGTCAGAAGGTTGCCGGCCACCAATAGCGAAGGTAGAAACCATCAAAGTCTTTGCCAAGCCAACCACAGCGTCCGAACTTCGACGGTTCCTGAGGGTAATAAATTGCTACCGCAGGTGTGTCCCCCACACCGTGGAACTGCAGGCGCCTCTCAACGAGCTGCTGAAGGGCCTGCCCAAAAAACCTAAGCTTAAGTAGACCACACCAGCATCTCAGGCGTTCGACAAATGAAAGGCCAGCGTCATTGACGCCACTTGCACAACGTATCTGGCCGCAGATGCCCTCTTGGCGCTCCGTACGGACGCCTTGAGCACAGCCATTGGCGCGGCTTTGGAGCAGCTTCAACCAGATGAGTCGTGGCGCCCGCTGGGATTCTTCTCACACAAGCAAGACTCCACGCAGGCCAGGTACAGCACGTACGACAGAGAGCTCCCAGCAATCTACGCCTCTGTTGAGCATTTCGAGAGGATACTAGACGGCCGCTCATTCACCATCTTCACGGATCACTGGCCTATCACCTTCACTGCCTTTCAACCAGCAACCAAGGCTTTGCTTAGACAAGCGCGCTACCTTGAATGTATTCTCAGGTTTAACTCACGCCTGGTTTACGCTAAAGGCGAATGTAATACGCTACGTGGCTGATGCTCTCTTCCAGCCGCAAGACGACCCCGAGACCCCCCGAAGCTTTAACACCAGCTGCGAAACCAATCGAAGTAGCGACCACCGATGTCACCCCAACGACTTAGCTACAGACACTAGTCGCCACCGTCGCAATGCCCTCGATCCTCAGCACAGCCGTCATCGCCCAATAGCAGGTGCACCATGCAGAGCTCCTTGACCTGCTAGGCAACCCATCGAATAACCTGGTACTCCAGCAGCTTAACATTGAGGGCCACTACGTCTATGGAGACATTACGCAAGGCGTGATGCGGCCGTACCTACCAGCGTCTCTCCGGCGCACAGCCTTCGACGTTTTGCATGATCTCTCACATCCCAGTAGCAAAGCCACGGCCCGAACCCTGAGTCAGAAGTTTGTCTGGCCAGGAGTACGCAAAAACGCCTTAGCCTGGGCTAAAACTTGCGAAGCCTGCCAGCGCTCCAAAATTAGTCGCCACAACCGATCAGCGCTAGGCAGATTCACCGAGCCCAACAACCGCCTGGAACATGTCCACATAGACATCATCAAGATGCCTCTAGTCGCAGGCATGCAGTACTGCCTTACGATCATTGATCAGTTTACTCGCTGGCCCCAAGCGATCCCGCTGTTCAACATCCAGACACCCACCATCGCCAAAGCCTTTTTCGATCATTGGATCAGTTTCATTGGAACCCCGCTCCTCATCACCTCAGACCGCGGTGCCCAATTTCAGTCAAGCCTCTTCAAAGAACTGGCCCAGATAATCGGCACAAATCTGTGCCACACAACCTCGTATCACCCGCAGTCCAATGGCATGGTGGAGAGGTTCCACAGGATCCTCAAAGCAGCCCTGCGCTGCTGCCCGTAGTCTTGGCTAGACTGCCTCCCTACTGTGCTCCTGGGACTCTGCACAGCATACAAAGAGGACCTGCAAGTCTCTCCAGCGGAAATGCTTCTCGGATTCCCACCTAGAATTCCAGGGGAGTTCTTCACCACCGAGTCAGTCCAGGCCGTATCGACAGAATCCGAAAGCCGCTGGAACTACCCTATACCAGCCCACATCACGTTGTTCGCCGTCTCGATAAGCGTAACTACGTCCTCGACATCAATGGCAAAGAAGAGGTGGTGTCCACGGACACGCTCAAGCCGGCATACATGGAGCAAGCTGATTCCGTCCTTGAGCAGCCCACAGCGCCAAGCACAGCTGCTCAGCCGCCACCGCAACCTCTGCCGCCTGCACCCAACACCGCTGCTCAGCCGGAAGCGCCCAGCACCACGGGCGCTGATCAGCCCTCGCCGCAACCCACGTCTACTCCAACTACCCAAGCCGCCCAGTCTTCAGCAACTCGCCATGTCTCTTTCCCGGCTCTTACGCTGGTCACTGGGGAGGGAGTGGATGTGGCGTCTCAGCCACAGCGACCAGCTTCGTGCTCAAGACGAAAGCAGACCATCGTCCCAAGGAACATCTTTTCCTGCGCACGTGCGAGCCAACTCACGCACACACTGCCGGTGCGCTACAGCTGAGGGAGAAGAGTCGCGCGGCGCTATACACTTATTCTTCTACTTATAGCTCTCGACGTGAGCAGAGCAAAAGTCCTACTGTACATAACGAATAAAAGCCATTTTGTATTTTTATAATAGAATCTGTCGCGTGTGCTTATTTTTCCTCGTGCTCCTTTTCTTGTGGAAGCACAGCTTTGGCTGTGCAGAACAATAGTTCCCACATATATACAGCAATTTTCGATAGTCAAAATACTCTGGATACATAATGCGTCATTAAAGTTAACCAATTTTTACAAAAATTAGTATACGGCGGTTTTTAGAGTCGCTGATTACAAATCAGAGGTCAGAATTGGAAATTTTAAGATGGCAGATCCAAGATGGTGGACAAAACTTTTAAAAATAAACCGATTTGTACAAAAATTGATATTCAGGGGTTTTTGGGTCCCTTAATCAAATCAAAGGTCAGAAATTAAAGTTTTAAGATGGCGGATCCAAGAAGGTAGAATTTTTGAAAATTACCTGTTTTCTTCTAACTTTGAGATATAAGGAATTTGGGGTTTTCTGATTACAAATCTAAGGTCAGATTTTCTAAATCGAAGATGGCGGATCGAAGATGGTGGACTAAACTTTCGAAAAATTGCCAAAAAATGCCTCACAATATCTGCCTCTACTGAATTTTGACTGGATTAAAGTTTTTTTTGGCTTACGTTACTTCTTTCATCGAAACCTACAATTATTCCATTCCCTTGGAGAAGTGATGTTAAAAAATGTATGCTTTTATACAGGGAAAATTTCAGTAATTTGTGAAATTCTGACGTTTGGATCAAATTTTAAACTAGTTTTAGATATCCCAGTAGTCTGAGCACCTAAGTAAGTGTTTAGTATCAAAAGACAATAAATGTAAGGTTACTAAATAAGATTCAAGATACAATATGGTGGCCGATGCAAAATAGTAGATTATCTTTTGTCTCACAAGGCATGAGACATAGGATTTTAAGGAACCGGTAAACTGAGTATATCACATAAATAGAACGTAATCCGTTTATAATCTAATAATGCCATAAACGAATATTTTAAGAAATACACATTATTCAGAAGAGGAACAAATTTTGTATTTACAAGTATCTGTTCCGTAACAAAACCGTTATTGTAAAATTAAGAACTCTCGTATTCAGATTATTTATCACTTGTATCTTCTATCGATGTATGTGTAGAAGCACAGTTAACCAACAAGTTATTTTCGCATTTTTCTACTGAGTTTTCATTTTTGCGTTTGAGTAGAGATATTATTTTGTCTGTCAGACACGTACTTTGTTTCTTAGGGGTCTCACGACGTAACAAAAAAAATGGATTAGAGTTAATCATCAATCTCTGGAAAATATCTGTATTAGTAGCCACTCTAAAAGAAATTTTTAAGTTTGGGTAACAACACATTAAAGATAGTAAAAATCATGCATAGCAGTGTTAGAGTTTTAAAAGAAATTGGTTGTTGTTTTAAACAATATAGGTTAAAAAAATAATATTTTACCAACAATGTTTTTTCGAAAACTTTTTACGAAAATATTTAACATTTTTGTAATTGCATTCTTGAGCTTCCTCGGAAAGCATACCAATTGGTACAAATAATGATTTCATTATCGTGTGCCCGTAAATTAGAATCACATGTAGGGAGGGGGACCCAGAATAGTTGTCTACGTAAATTTCCGCTGTTTTCAAAGAATACATTCTGAATTTCTGAAAGTCGATTTGTTCACCAGATACTACAATGGCCAGAATTACCTTAAAATTTAAAGTTCCGCGTTAAATCCTAAAATTAGGTTGATTTATCTATACTATACTACTTTGGAATATGCATTTTAAGAAGAGTATTGGTAAGAAATAGGTTTAAACCTGTTACGTCTGATACAGCATCAACATTATCAAAAAATTTTCGAGCTGTGTTGCCGTTATTAGTATTATATTACCCGTGCCTTAAGTCGACGCATCGTCTAATGTTTCTAGTTTCTTCATGAGACCATCTTGAATAAATTTTTTTCTTTTTTGCACGTTTTTTTGATTCTCCTTCTTTACCTTGATCATAAAAATTAATTGTACAACCTCATGCGTTACTGTCATAGGTAAGTAGAAACACTTTTTGTAAAGTGATTGTTTTAAAGTCCGTAAAGCCTATGTTTCTTCACATTAATTAAGAAGGGGTAAAACAATCTTGTAATATTAAAGCACGTCTGATTGTGATCATAACTATTACATCTCTTGTACAATAAATTTACTATGAATTTTTGGTTTTTCATAAATATTTATAAAACTAGCATTCCTCTCAACTTAGTTATTATCAAAAGAATATAACTTTAAGTCCATGGAGTTAAGAAATGTAAAATGAACTATTATATTAAAATATTTATAAATTGTTGGTGAATTTGCCTAAAATAAGCTAAGGAAATCAAAGACGAAAATTAATCTGCGACATATATAATGCGTTTTTATCGACCGTGACTTCAGATATTTTTTTAATGTTATTCAACTTCGATATCGTTTCCTTACATACAAAGCATCTTTGACTTGATAAATCGTTTAATGCATAACCTATTTTCAGAAATTTTAAAGCTTTACTGAATTTGAGGTTTGATGCATAGTATTTTAATTATTACTAGTGCAGTGTGATTATTATTATTTGCATATGATTTTGTTATATTTTTAATATTTTTGTCTATATCTATCCATGTTGACATCGCGTAGGTACTTAGGCTCTTGATGATGGCGTTGAAGTTGCGCAGCTTGGTATTCTAGGAGACTGTTTTGTTGTTAAAGGGCTTTAGTTGCACGAAGGCTCCAAATGCCTTGCCACAAGTGCTGTTGATGTGCTGAGCGTAAGTGAGTCGACGGTCGAGCGTGACGCCGAGGTACTTGGCAGATTAGCTTCCGTCAATTTCTACACCGTTGACATTTATCTTTTGTACTTCGTTCCTTGGATTTTCCCAGGAGATAAGCATGGCTATAGTCTTTGCCTTATTTAGCACTAATTCCCAAAGACTATACCAGTTATGGAGAGTGCCGATATGCTTGTTTAGAAAGATGGTGCACCGAGAGTGTTGTTTTGACAACCAGCTGATGGTGACTTAGTCTGCATAGACATACATGTGAATATTTTTGTACTAGGGTAGGTTATGGCAAAATATGTTGAAAAGGGTGGGTGAAATTTTGGAGCCTTAGGAGACTCAAGAGGTTATTGGGCGGGGGTCGGAGAGAAAGTTACCTACTTCAATGCGGATAAATCTGTCAGAGAGGTATGACTTGACGGAACCGATGATGTAGTGCAGAAAACCTAACTGAATAAGCTTGTACAGGGGGCCCTCGTACTAAACTCTATTGAAAGCCTGCTCGAGAAAAGCTATCGCTGTGAAGTTAAGTTTTTGTGGATGATGCTGTCGGAGAGGTCTTTTGTGACTCTCAAAAGCTGGTGTCCGATGAATGTCTGGCTCTTAAACCGTACTGCACGTCTGAAAGGATCTTATTTTCCGTGGCGTGCTTGCTTAGGCGGGTAAGAATGACACTTTTAGTAATTTTACTTGGCGAGGAGGGTAAGCTAATGGGTCTGTGGCTCGAGGG